AACCCACTGAGATTCTTTGTTACTGCATCGTGACTTGGATGTCCTAATAGGGGACTGTATCCTATCATGTTCTATATTTCTGATGCTCAATAGAGCACCTTCACATAGTAGATACTTAAAAGATTTGATTTATTTAGCAAACATTTCCTGAGTGTTTTTGGAAGGATAAAAAGTTTATTTAAAAATGCTTGCTTTTTATTTTCCTAAGGAAGCTGTAAGCATTTTAAGGATTGAAACCCTTGTAGACAGTTCTTGGGCTACCACCTCTTGGGCACTTTCATCCTCAGTCCACAGGGAACTTAAAATGGCCTGGGTGGTTTTGGAAGTGGAGGGGGAGGCCAGAGAAGAACATTCTAGAAGGGATGAAAACATGACCAACACAGACAGAGCAGTGGTTGGTTCCTGGGAAAATAGACACATGAAAAGAAGGGTTCAGGGGGAAAAACAGCTTCTGGGACGTTTCGGCAACAGTGAAGATAAGAAGCTGGTGAAGACACCCTGGGAGGCACGAGGAGAGCTAGGAGCAGGGATAAGCTGGGAAACAGGCTCTGATAAATAGTTGGGAACCTTCTCTCTCATCTCGCGCCAGTGCTCAGGAGAGCTACACTGTGTACACTCCGGGCACAGAGGGGAGAGGCCTGCCCTTGAGCTTGCATTCTGGGTAAGCACTCTGCGTCTCAGGCTTGAGACCCAAGGTTTTGAAATTTTCCACCTTGATTTGAAAATACTCAGCAAGCAGAGAAGCCTCTCAATCACTGATGATCCTTGTCTCTTTTATTGAATATTGCTTACGTTAACATGGAAGGAGGGTCAGGAGAGCTTCAGGGAGGAAAGAGATCAGCAGTCAAAAGCTCCAAGAGTGAGGAAAGGTGAGAATCCATAGTAATAACAGTGGTTGCCACTGTTATTGGCAGCTACCGGTCTGTGTGCCTTACAAGCGTTGCCTCCTTTAACCACCACAGCACATCTCTGAGATCAGCAATGTTGTCTCCATATTAGAGAAGAGAAAACTGAGGTCCAGAGACAGTGACTTGTTCAGAGTCACTTGGTTAATGAGTAGCAAAGAGATGTTTTTAATCCAAATTTGTTCAGCTCCAAAGCCTATTGTCTTTGGTGATAGAACATTATTTCAAATAACTTGAAGCAGAAGCCTCAGCCTATCCACCATCATTGCTAATTGCAGCACCAGGAGCTGAGAGTGGGAATGCAACAGAAAGCCAGAAAAATCTCCAAGCTTATTTGGACCAGTAGTTTGGTCCTCTTTCCCCACCACGCTCCAATGTCCCCCACTCCCAAAGACTACAGGGAAGTGACATGTAGATGAGGTTCCTTTCCTTGCTGCTGTGCTGGAAGCAGAGAATCACCAGGGGTGGGTGGCAGAAGTCTGAGAGGGGAGTGGAAGGGAGCTGGCCAAGGTGGACTAAATCCCCTGGAAGCCTAAGAAAGTTCGTTTTCTAGGTGAGGTACCCTCCACCCAGGGTGGCTTATGGTCAACACTCAGTCAAAGCGAGAGCAATGGCGAGGCAGGGCACAGACTCGGCATTTTCTGAATATCAGATGCCATCCTACCTGCCTCTAGGCCAGAGATGATAGCGGTACCCACTTCGGGCCCAGGAAGAGGCAAACGGTGTTCAATGAAGGGCCATAGCACTACAGGAGCCTGTTTAAAGGGGCCAAGCACATTTGGCTGGCCTCAAGGGCAGGTTACTGAGTACACGGTCAGTTTTGGGACTCAGGGCTCCTGGTCACTTCACAAGGAAGTCCCTTCATCACTGCACACCCCTTTCTGCCGGAAGCCTCCAACCTTCCCACATCTCCAGATCATCTTCCTAAAGAGCTACTTGCAGACTCTTCCTTTCTAATTCTGTAATCTTGTCTGAAAAGCACACAGTCCCTCCTCAGTTCTTTGTTCCTTTCATATTTTTCTTGCTCTGCTTCCATAACTCCCTTTGCTCTTTTTGTTCACCCACTTATCCAGTTCATGTCTCATGTTTAGCAACAACAACAAAACAAAGCTCAAGTGTGCAGATATCAGTAGATTGTTCCATAGTTTTCTGTCTTTTTACAAAGGTTTACCTCTATTAGCCAATGAATCAGATTCTTTTTAGCCCATTATATTGTTTTCTTTGAGAGCTTTCAATGAGAGCCATGACAAAACAGTTGACTATCAGTAGAAGTGCAATGGAGGAGGAGATGCTAACTGTTAAGACACCCCAAAGGTGCAGATCAATATAGTCAAGTGTGTGGGAAGCCCTTTTTAGCTTATAGAGAAATCAGGGTATTTGTCTTGCAGCACCTTCTGTCAGAGGGGTAGGAGTTTCCTCTACTATTTAAAACCATTGTTGATTCTGCAAAATACTGCACAGAATGGAATCAGACCCTCCCTTCCTTAGCCCACCTTATTCTGGTAATTAGCGCCCACAAGAAGAAACAGGCAGAACTGTGACGGGGTCTGTGCTGGAGGAGAAGTAGATCTCCGAACAGGAGTTCAGTGTGGGAGGGTCTTGGTGCTACTGAGGGTTCCTTGGATGTGCAAATGGCTGTGTGCTCTTCAGGTTTGTTTTCTGCAGCCCTTTCTGGAAGGAGAGGAAACGAGTTCCAATCCAGAGGGCTGGCTTCCTCACTAGCAATTCTTAGAAGTGAGCCCCTTGTCAATAGAACACTTTGTTTTCTTTCTTTTTAGTCTTCTTTAGTCAATGATTGAGTTAATTATTTATGGCAAATTTGTCTTCATTGGTCTGATGCAAAGCCTTTTTCTTATTTTATTTTACTGATTTATTGATTTTTATCCCTATAATCAACTCCCGTCCATAACCCATCCCACATAGACAGCTCTTCCAATGTTTTAAGTTGTACCTTTTAATGTGTGTTTTTATTTTATATAAGTTGTTTTATGTTGTATACCTCATTCTGTTGCTTAATTTTTAAAAATTAACACTAGTTTTTAAGGAAGTCAACTTTATTGTGATATAGTTTACATAAAATGCACCCATTTTAAGGTATAAATTTTGATGAGTTTTGACATCTGTGTATAGAACATTTTCATCACCTGAAAAGTTCTAACAGTCCAAAAGTGAGTATTTATTTTAAATGAGCTAAGAAACAACAATAGATTGCTGGGATCTCTTAAGGCAATTTACCTGAAATGCTCTCTTACTATTGTTTCCTGATTGCAGTGTGGTTTCCTCTCCTTACTTAGAACATTCCAGAATTCCTAGCACTTAGAAGAGTCCAAGCAAGTGAGGAACCTTGAGCCTTCATGCAATTCACAGCCATTATGCTCCTGATCTATATACCCCACCAGGAGTACATGAGTATTTCTCTATCCTCATTTTCCTGATATCATTTGGCATTATTCAGATTTTTAATGCTTGCCAGTCTAGATTTGGCCTGAGCCTGATTTTGTATGGCCTGGGAGCTAAGAATATTATTTACATTTTTAAATAGTTGCAAAAAAACCCCCCAAAAGAATAATAATTAGTGACATGTGAAAATTATATAGAAATTCCAATTTCAGTGTCTGTTGAAGTTTGGGTGGAACACGGCCATATCATACATGTGTTATGTGCTGTCTATGGTGCATTCATGCTACAGATGCAGAGCTGAGCAGCCGTGACAGAGACTGCATGACCTGCAAACCCTAAAATATTTAATATCTGGGTATTTACAGAAAAAGTCAGATGACTCTTGGTACAGAGCATTAATTTTTCTTGGAGACAATAATCTTCTTCTATATCAGGAATAAGATATTCCTCCTGCTAGTATGCTTTTGTTTTGGCCCATTTTGGAATAACAGGCCTTGCCATTATTGTGCTCAAAAAGCATCTGGCTCTTTTCTGCTCTACCTGCTGGTTTCAGGTATGAGTAAGCCACTGCAATGGAACATTCCACTCCAGAACTCAGTGGCTTAAAATAGCAATGCTTCATTGTTGCTCAGGTGTCAGCAGGTGAACTAGAGTCTGGCTGCATCGCTGTTTGAGGCTGGGGTGTCGGGGGCAAGTCTGTCTCTCACTGTCAACCTGCGGGTCATCTGGGAGGGCTCTGCTCCATGTATCTCTCCTTGTCTTTGCACCACTGGGTGCATGGGGGGTGGCGAGGGCACAAACGGGCAGATGAAAACAGTTGTCACCTCTTAAAGCCTATGCTCAGAACTGGCATGCTATCACTTCCGTCACTTCTGCCCATACATCATTGGCTAAAGGAAGTCACACAGCCAAGACAAAAAGTGAAGAAGCAGTGAAGGACATTCCTCCTAGGATGAGATAGTGGCCAAAATGTGGATTCCAGTAGGGGTGAAGAACTGGGGTCCATAATGCAGTCTACCATACATTTCAAGAAATGCCACAATGGTAGTAAAAGGTTTTCCCTTTACCATCGAGGAGGATGCTACTTGTTTGTAATAAGCATGCGCTATGAAAAGTAAGGTCTGTGGCCTCCCTGCTCGTCTGACTTCACAAATGCTGTTATCAGTTTCCAGTGGTGACGGCTATGGAGCTATCGAAGTGTTTTCTTCTGCTTCTGCTCTATAGTTTTCTTAGGATGAACCACCAACATTTGGGGTGACCTAAGATGTCCTTACTGCTGGAAAGAATAAAAGGAACAGAGGAGTATCATCTCTTTCTTCCTCTCTCTCTTTCTCTCTCCTTATTTACCAGATATGAATTAATAATAAACACATTTTCCCCCTTCTTGGCCCTCTAGTTGTATTATAAAACTCTTCAAAGATATCGCTGTGTTTTCTCTTTGATCCCTCCTCTTCCCCCACTCCCCGCCTCCTCTGGAAGTGCAGAAGAGGGTGAGGTATCCGGATATTAGCCATTCAACAAGTGCGGTTGATTACTCGCCTGCCCATCTAATCTTAAATGACCGTTTGCTTTCTGGTTCACTAATCATGGCTGTACCAGGCTCCTTGGGACAATAAATGCCAGTCTGGACTGCCTGGAGTGGAGACCCCTTCCTAACTTGCCAGCCCAGGAGATTCCTATCTTCTCCCATCATTCATGAAGCTCGTTCTTCTGGCTTTGACTGTTACCCTGCCACTGGCACAGGTCGCGAAAGGTAACTAGGTTCTCTCCCAGTGGGTAGTAGGTCAGGGAGCCTAATGTCTTTTCAGGGAATGCTGGGGGCTCTCACAGCTTGGGCTGGGGCAAAGGCCTGGCAGGCTCCCCAGAGACCTTGGGATCTCTCTCTAGCCAAGGGGAAGTTTGAGTTCTGGTACCGACAGTTTTTTCTGGGGCCATTACTCGACCATCCTGAACTGCCCTCCCTGGTTGGCTTCGAAAAAGTTGAACATGACCTGGGGACCAGGGTACAAGGAGAAGGAAGATATGGGCATGGAGTATAGAGAAACTGGGAGCTTTTCCAAAACACTCCTCAGAGGATTTGAACTTTGATCTCTTATTGCCTCATGAAAATGGTTCCTGAATTTCTGATTGTTTGAGGCTTCTGATTCTACCCTCTTACGCGGCCTCAATTTATCTGGGCTCCTTCAGGTAGTGCGTTCCCCAGAACAATTGTTCTTAATTATCTTGGCTGCTAAGACCAGCAAAAAGCCCTAGGGTGCTGTGGAGAAGCAAGTATGATATTCTGGGGAGCTTTATAGATACCCTAGAAGACTGGCCAATGTCCAGATGGGTATATTTCAGGTTCCTGTCCTTTTTCATTGACAGGGTCAGAAAGGGTATTCAGGACAAAGGGAAAAGGTAACTAGTTGATACTGGATACCTGGGTACATTATAATATAGGAGAGGTGAAACCCTGGAGAGAGGGGGACGTCTTACCTCATCCGAGGCAGCTGGCCAGGGGAAGCTGCCTAGTGGTTCTAAGCCACTGAGTTGGGGAGGACTTTGAGATTGTGACTGGGGATGCAAGTGGGAAAAGAAAGGATAGTGGCCTATAATTGCTCCTAAACGTGGAAGATGCCTTACAAGGGCTTCTACCTCTCATGTCTCTTTATTTCTCTTACTACTTCTCTACTTTGGCCTCCCGCTTCCCCAGCCCTCTGCTTTATTTCAAGACTGAGCTTTCTCCCTCCTTTCCTTTTAATTTCAGTCAAGAAGTGTTGGGGTCAGTTGGGAAGTTGCAGAATCATGTGTAAAGAGAGCGAAGTATTCTACATATTATGCAATGCTGAGACTAAGTGCTGTGTGAATCCAAAGCACGTGCCGGTCAACACTAAACCCTCAAACTCAACTGAAAGCCTGAGATAACCTTCTGCAGTATGGCAGCTCTTATCCAACCTTGAGTGTAACATCGCTGGGTCCTGCAGTTCTATTAAATCATTCTTGGCTGTACCTTGTTTGTGTCTGGAAGTTCCACCAAGTTGCATTTAGAAACACATAAGAAGGAAGAAAGGTGTACGGGGGTATTAAGGAGAACAGGATGGATCAGTGGGTGGTAATAATCTCAGTCTTGCACACAGCTCCTAGCCTGCTGCCCCTCCTCCCCGCACTGGTCCCAGGTGATATAAATAAAAAAAGTTCATTCTATCCATTTGATTCTTGTTTTCTAGACGAGTACAATAGAACTTTCTGCAACGATGGAAGTGTTCCACATCTGTGTTGTCCTGTATGGCAACCACTAACCACGTGTGGTTATTGAGCACTTGAAATGTGGCCAGTATGACAGGAAAACTGAATTTTTAATTTAATTTAATTTACATTTAAATTTATACAGCTAAATGTGGCTAGGGTTATTGTATTGGACAGTGTAGGTTTACAGCCTAGAGCTATAAGGCTGAGACAGGTTATAAGGTTCAATGTCTGGGTATTTCATGGGAAGTCAAGAAAGCAAGATAGCCTGTGTGATGAACACAAGAACCCATTAGCTTGCTGCTTCTCTTTCTCTACTTTCACAATGAAGGCTGTGGCACTCCCATAGCAATACCTGCAGCTCTGTCTTGTTAGAAACTCCAGGTTGGTGTCTCCTAAGTTCTCTTGGAGAGAACTGGCATCGGACCCTGTGTGGACTCCTGCTCCATCTCTTTTTTTCCCCTCTAGCTGGGCTGTATCAGACTGAACTGTTGGCTAGTCCTTTTCCAGGGTAGATCCTGAAATGGAACAACAGGATTTTACCATCACTAGCCCCATGATTGTGGTTGTGGACCCAAGTATCCCCAACCCTTGCTACTTATCCAACTAATCAAAAAGAACTTGATTCAGCCCTGGCTGGTGTGGCCCAGTGGATTGAGCACCAGCCTGCAAACCAAAGGGTCACTGGTTTGATTCCCAGTTAGGGCACATGCCTGGGTTGTGGGCCAGGTCCCCAGTAAGGGGGATGTAAGGGGCAACCACATATTGATGTTTCTTTCCCTCTCTTTCTCCCTCCCTTCTCCCTCTATAAAAATAAATAAATAAAATCTTTAAAAAAAAAAGAACTTGATTCATTACCCTGAGTTTGTTCAGAGTCACCTGCTTACTATTCAGTCCCTTCAAATGAAAACACTGAACCTTGTGTCTTGACTTAGTCATTCCCAGCACAAATTTTTGATGAACACTTCCAGTCTCAGAGTCTAAGTACCACTGAAGCGGTCAAAAGGAAGAACATTAAACTCAGGATCAGAAGCTCTGGGTTGATAACGTGCTTGATCACACATCAACGGCATGACCCTAGACAAGCCATGTAATCCTCACTGCCTTATTTTCTCATCCATAAAATGAGGATGTGTCTCACCCAAGGCACAGGGTCTTCATAAGGATTAAATGAAATAACAGACAGGAAAGCGCTTGGTACAGTCTTGCACACATCCAATTCCTGATAAATGTAAGTTGGATCTAGATTGATCTCACTCCCTAATTTCCTCCTTTTAGACACTGACTGTAAAAAATTAAGATACTCCTTTCCACTTTGCTCCAACTCCTACTCCTCAGTTACTTGTTCTTAAAATTGAAATGAAGCCCTTGATCCCACTGCTTTTCCACTAATCGCCTCAACCTCCCGATTCCACTTCCCTCTGTGCTCAGCCTGGACAGCATGAGCCAGCCCCGTAATAGTTCTCTGCGGACAGCCTCAGTTTCCATGTTCCACACTGCACGGTATCTGTCTGTCAAAGTCCCACCCTGGTAGAATGCTTGCCTTCTCCGTTTGCACACTTCAGAAGCTGATTATTCTCAGAGGAAATTAGCTAACTGGCCTCATGGAGCTCACTGGAAATTCAGGGCCTCAAACCTCAAACAGCATTCAGCACGGCCCAGCTGATCTCCTGTTTTCTTCCTAGAAGCTTGATTCCTTACTCCCTGAAATGACTATTGCATGCTGTCTCTGCTCTCATTAATCTTCTATCACTTCCCCTCACTAAAATAGCACTCCTTGCCTCATATTTCAAAAGACAGAAACCATCAGAAACAACTCCACTTCTCTTTACTAAGTGTACATGCTCCTCCATCTGGTCCTACGATGCCTGTCTTCCTTTTGTTTACACAGGGATAGGTGCCTACGCCAGAGAAACCAGCCCCTCCACTCATCCATATCCTTGCTCCTCTCCTCTACTCAAGGACTTTATCTTCAATTATTCTTTTCATTCTCCCCTTCTCTACTGGATCATTTTTATTATTATGCAAACATGCTCTAGTACCTCCCATCTTAAAAGAAAAACATCCCTAATTCCACATCCTTCTTTGGACAATGTTCCATTTCTTTGCAATTCTTCAAAGAAAAATTTCTCAAAATGTTGTCTTCCTTCACTTTCTCCATTTCTCATTTCCTACCATTTTTCTATTCAATTCAATTTGGCTTTGACCCTGCCATTGAAACTTCTCTGGTAAAGGTCACCAACTGTCCCCAATATTGCCAAACCCAAGAGAGAACCCCAATTTTCCTCTTACTAATTTCTGAGCAGTATTTGATATAGGGCCACTAACTTCTCATTAAATGCTTTCTTCTCTTGACTTCTAAATTATCAGACACTCATAGTTTTCCTCTGATTGGCAAGACCACTCTCTTCTAGTTTCTATCCAGGCTCTTCCTTCCTTTCTCAATCACCAGGGCTTGTTTTTAGGTTCTTTTCTCTCTATTTTTTTTTCACTAGATGCTTTGAACAAATTCAGTCTCTAACCCCAGATTTTCTCAAACCTATAGACTGATACATTCACCTTCTTAAGTGACATCTCCTTTTGGATGTCTAATATATTCAGGATGGAACTCCTGGTGGAAACCTTATTTCCCCAAGCCTTGTTCCTACTTTATGGTTACCCTTTTCAGAAAACAGTAGCAACAAGAACCCAGTTGCTCCAAACCTAGAAGTCATCTTTAGTTCCTTACTTCACCTCACTCCATTCAATCTAGCAGCATGTCCCGTGACCGTGTTCTCAAAATATACCTCAAGACCATCCATTTCTTTCCATCAAATTCAAGCCACTGTCATCTTAATCTAAAATCTCACAACAGTCTCCTGATTGGTTTCTCATTTAATCCCCTGACTGATTTCCCACACAGCAGTCAAAAGGTAATTTATGTCTTATCGCTGCTCTGTTTAACAGCCAATATTGGCTTCCTGTTTCACCAAGAATAAAGTCTACATTCCCTGCCATGACCAGTGAGACGCTGACCAGCCTGGCCTTGTTTACCTCTGTGGCATCTTCCTTCCTCCTTATACACAAGTCACATCCACCTCCTTCCTTTTCCTTTGGGTCAACAGCCTCTTTCTTGCTTTGGGTCATTGCTACATGCTATTCCTGCTGCCTAGGAGGGCTCTTCCTCTGGTATCTGTATGGTTGTTTTGTCCCATCCTTCAGGCCTTAATTTAAATGCCATCCTTGATTATCACATCTAACAAAGTTCTTTATATTGCTCTGCCAACTTCTTTCTTAGCACTTTTCAAAAATCAGTAATTATTTTGTTAATTTACTTATTTGTTGTCCCTCTGCCCAGCAGAGATTGAGTTTCATGACAGCAGGATCATTGTCAGCTCTGCTCACCATCCCACCCTTGGTTCCTGGAGCAGAGTGGGAATGTAGTACAGACTTGCTAACTCCATGGATATTTAAAGTCCAAGAATGTTACTTTCCCACTCAAGCAGGTCTCTTTCCCAAATGCTCCCACTTTACCATTGTCTGACATATAAGGCTTTATGAAACTTTCCTCCAACACTTCCTGTATCTATCAGAAATTACTTTAAATGTAAATGAATTAAGTACTCTAATCAAAAGACATAGGGTGGACTTCTGGTCAAGATGGCGGCATAAGTAAACACGGCACACCTCCTCGCATACCCACATCAAAATCACAATTAAAATATAGAACAACCATCACTCAGAACCATCAGAAATCGAGTTGAATGGAAGTGTGACAACTATGGAATTAAAGAAATCACATCCATCCAGGCTGGTAGGAGGGGCAGAGATGCAGAATGGGCTGTGCCCATATCCATTTGTGGTAGATAAAAATTCAGGAGGGATATCTCAGGAGCAAGGCATCCCAGCTCACATCAAGCCTCCCAGAGCAGGGTTCCAGTACCAGGAAGATAAATCCTCATAATTTCTGGTTGCAAAAACTAGTGAACATTAAGTTGGTGGAAGAACTGCTGAAGTCCCAAGCAGTCCCTCTTAAAGAACCCATACATGACTTACCCAGATTCACTCCCTCTAAGCTCCAGTACCAGGGTAGCAGCTTGAAAGGCACCAGTGGCATATAGGGAGAAACCAAAGTGTCTGGCATCAAGATAAGAGCTGGGGAACAGCTTTCTCCCAGACGGAAAGGCGGGCAAGGCCATTATCCCTTTTCTGAACCCTCCCCCACAGAGTCACAAAACCAGCAGGTAGGTGCCATATCTGAGACTCCATCAACCTGGCTTACACTGTTTGCCCTGCCCTGGAGATCCCCAGAGACTCCACCCTACCCAATTTATGGGCCCACCAAAGCTGCTTTTCCGTATGACTGGCTGGTCTTGATTCGTGCTTCACACCTATGTCCTCTCAAAAAAGCAACAGCTGGCCTCAGTGAGCCCCCCACCCCCCACACCTTTTGCTGTGTGGCCCCAGACCCAGCACTAGTAACAACCGGCCTAGATTCACAGCTTGGTTTCACTTGGGAATCTCCAAGCCCAGCACAAGTAGCAACTGTCTCATATTGCTTTATAGCTCGGGCAGGGTGGTCCTGGGCAAAACACAAGTCAGGACTGACCTTGGCCTGTACCACCCAGGAAACCCCAGAACCTGTGCACCCAGTGGACAGCTACAGACCATGTAGCAACACCACCACCCTGCCCCCATGC